TTCCGATCTTATAAATGAGACAATACTTCAAAATTTTATAGAGTAAAAAATGTTGTTAGAGAAAGGGCTCAAATCCCATTAGAAAAGTAAAAAGGTTTTGGTTAAAGAAGTTTTAACCATAGTTTTGAAAACTTGATCAAAATGGCTAGTTTGACCAATTTGACAAAAAATGGTCTAATGACCAATTCGTTAATCAAAAGAATTGAGACAGAATTGTTGTGAACCAATCAATTTGGTCCAAAATTAGCGCAAAACTAATGGAAATTGGCCTAAACTTATTTTGAGCCAGTACTGTTAATTTTTAATTTTTTACAATTTATTTAAAATATTTTTATGATAAATGAAAATAAATATTCAATAAGATTACAAATTTGAAAATACATATTTGAAAAGTTCAGACATAGAGGTATGATAGTGTGATGAAGATGAGATAGTGATGTGCATTCACATTTGTTTGTGTTTGATGTGATGTGTTTAGAGTTTATTCATATAGGCATACTTTGTTTGGAAACAAATGCATATATATGCAAAAAGGAACCTATGGTCTTCTATCTTTGCCTTATAACATCATGAATTTTGTATATAAAATAAAATAAGTGTTTTAATAAAGAGAATCATATTATAGACTTAATTAATTTAATTAATTAAGCTAGTAATACAATTAAAATGTTTTTAATTAATAAAAGAAAAAGAAAAAGGTTGTGGGTCGAGAAAAAGAGTTTGGGTTGTACTATTGAGTCCAACCTAAAGGCTTATTAAAAACAAAAAATAAGAGATACATCATCATTATGTGTTTGTTATGAATTCTAAGAGCACTTGGAGAGGAAAACTTAGAGAGGCACTAGAGAATGTACGATGTAGTAGCTGAAGTAGGGAAATAGCCTTCTTATGTTACAAGGATCATCACTTAAGGTAAGAAAGAGTGAAAATGTCTTATCTGTGAGCACATATGAAGGTATAGGTAGAAAGAAAATCCTTAAGTCTCATAGGTTGTTGGTTTTAATCTTGTAAGGTGCATATTTGTATAATTTAAGATTAACCTATTATCTTATCTTGGTGATTTCATAAATTGTGATAATTGATTCATTTGTTATGAAATTCATGATTTATGATGCTAAATTATGTTGTGTATTAAAAAAATTATAACACTATATGATGTATATATTAAACATCTCATAAGTGGAGCAACTACAGGGTTCTATGCACAAACTTCTCCTCGAATATTTTCACATATATCTTTCTACAATATTCACCCATTAAAATTTTCTACTTCCTCTATAAAGTATTAAACATTAAACATGTTTTACATTTTACAGATTTCAAATTCTTTTTATTTTCATTTAATACTTTCTTTGTAAAGAAGGAAATAATTAATACTTGAGTTGATTTAGTCATTGATAAAAAAAAATATTTGGTTATTCATGATATAGATATTTTCATATATTATACATCTCATTGACAATTATCATTTTTTTATCTCTGACTTTCTATTACATTCACTACTAGAAAAGTTTCATTTTCCTTCGAATTTTCTTATAAAAAAATATTTGTAGAAACTTTTTACGAATTTTCTTGCAATAATAATTTCACAAAAAAATTTATGAATTTATTTGCGAAAAATAATTTACAAATATTTCTTAAAAAAATTTATGAAAAATAATCTACAAGATATTTTTTGCAAATTTTGCTACAATTTTAATGATCATAAAACAAATTTCATGGTAAAAATTTGCAAAAAATATTGTAAGAATTTTATTTTGATTCTTGCATATTTTCTTGCAAAAATAAATTCGCAAGTAATGTTTACTAAATGGTAGAAAAATTTTGCAAGTAACATTTCCTGTGAATTTTCCTGCCAATTTTAATTTGCAGGAAAAATAAAAAAAATATTTAAATTTATAAGTTTAATATTTAAATTTATAAGTTTAATATTTAAAAAAAACTTCAAGTCTCACATCGATTGAAAATAAAACAATTAAAGAGTATATAAGTTAGGGCAACACTTACCATACAAGTTGATTTTTGTATGGTTGAGTGTTACGCTTATAATCTACAGTCTTAGAGTTTAAAAGATTATGTATCACATGTTAGAGGTGTGGAAACAAATGCTTCAGATGAATTCATTGTGAGCATTTGAAAGTTGAGATAGAATTTGTAGTAATTTCTTTGAATTTTTTTTTTGTAAAAACTATTCCTGCAGAATTTTTTGCGAAAAAATTCGCAGGAAACTTTCTTGCTAATTTTTTTTGCTCGCACATTTTAACTGCAAATCTCTTTTGCTTTTTTCTTCGTGTACCCACCAAAACACAATGGCACCAATGATAACAAATAGAAGTTCAACACTAGCCCGTAGAAGGAGATTATTAGATTAAGAAGTTGCATACGCAGAGGAACCAGGTTAATACTTTTTGGTCTTGTGAAAGTTACTTTTCTTTCTTCTCTCAATCTTCTGTTATTATTTTAAGTTTTTT